CCTTCTCTGATGTGCTGATTGTTCTTGCACATGAAAGAAGTGCCGAAATCATGACAGCTTTGCCTGCAGTTGGATGACAGGACATAAAATGTGAATACCTGCCAGTGCACTTTGTTTTACTGTACAGTGAGAAGGTCATGCGCTTGCCCTGTTGTCCGACTGCAACATCAAGAAACAGAAGTGTTCCATTTTTCTCTCGTTCCTCCATAAACTGTATCGCCTGGTTGACACAATTAAGGAGGGACATGGGTCTATGGGATATCTTATGTATTTTTGAACCGAATGTGAAAAGAGTTGGCATGCTTACTTAGTTCGTCCTCCTGATTCTAAACATGTAAATATTTTTCTGTGGCAATATTAGTTCATTAAATAATCCAGATAACTATCTCTATTGTTCTTACTACAATAGAAAAATAACCACCATTCAAAAGTTTACAAATTACATAGAGATTAACAGTAGAAAGCATAAGACACACAACATAGGAACCACTTTTTTGATTGGGTCAATATTTCTTACATTATAGTACACTAAACATCATAGCTCTGAATGTGGCCATGGTGTGGTCACACAAAGAGACTAAATTTAAAAACTTACATCAAAAGAAATTAAAACCTGCTTTATATGTTGTGTGCTCCAAAGATGTAGCTTCATGCTGCAAAAAGAATTATTCTGCTATTTGTAATAGTTTCCGATATATTGCAGGAATTGTCATGCAGGGTGTACGAAACTGCCATTTTGAAAAAATCCAGAAAACAAAAAATTATGACATTTTTAGCTGTAAAAATGTATGTATTTAGACCTACATGGTCACTAACATATAAATGGATACCAGAAAGCCCAAAAAGTGCAATGCTGCAAGCTGATCGAAAGTTGAACAAATACTTCTCGAATTACAGCACAGTAAAGTTTATTGCATGTAACCAAGAACAAGAAATTTTGTATTAAAATAAAAAAAGTAATTGGAGTCACAATTTAAAAACCGGCTCACAGCGTTGTTTTTTGTCCACATTTAGCTACACTGTGAAAAACTAATTACAGCTCTAGCTGTTCTAGGTCCACCTTTACAGAACAAGCAAACAAGGTAAAGTGGTCAAAATCTGTGTTTTGAGAAAAATACTGTTAAAACTTTAGTTCACCGTTTCGAGTGAAAAAATATCATGGCACACATGCTTTTAGGCAGTTAATATGCACCGGGCATGTAATCGAACTGATTTCTTGCATGAGCATGTCGTTTCTTCAAGTCCTTCTGCAAGTTATCATCGTGTGCTCATCTGCCGACACGGCTGCTTATCAGTTTGGTGACTGTGCTGACGCTAATGTGCAACGAATATGCACGCATCATCCACAATACGTTGAATGACATGGTGATGCTTTCCGGCTTGTTCAAAATGAGTTACATGTAAATGTCGCGAACCGAACTTGTGCACTCACTCATCAATTTCAAGGCTAGATGAGTGCTGAGATGTTAGTTTCCTTTTCACGTAAGACTACTGCATTTTCGAGTATAGACCGCGACATTGTTGTGAACACGTTGTTGAAAGCAGTCCACCTGTTGCTGGTAGCGTACACTGCGCGGGTGGCGAGCATGCTCACTACGAACAGATTAGTTTTCTGTTCATCGATGCACAGCGTACTCAACTCTGATGACCCGTCACCCAGGGGGGATGCGATATTGGCGTGTTTAGTTATAAGACTGCATTGCCGTTCTGTCACTGCAGAGATTGATATCTTTCGTAGCTTCACTTCTGCTTTTTACTTGCCATTCTCTAACTGATGAGGCTGCAAAACACTGCCGCTTTCAGTGACATTGTCGGCAACAGACGGGCTCGTACGTGAGCTAGGCCTACACCAGTGACTCGGCGACCACCGTTGATTGCCGCGAGTTCATTATCCTCATTGTCCTGAGCCATAGCAGGGCTCTTTTTGAAGTTTACGACGAACGAATGATTGCCACACCCGCTTCATGAATCAGTGTGGCACAGAGCTTCTTTACTGCTGTAGGCAGTTTACAGCACCATGATGAAATTGCGCATGTCCGTGTGCGTCACGATGGGGAAGCAGACGCCGGAAACGCCACTTGCCCAATCGCATGCCTAGATTTTGTCACGTGCCCCAAGCAGCCAATAGAATCACGCGCTGGTGCTTTTTCGATGTGTTGTTGCTGAAAAACCAATGAGCAAGGTGAACCAGCGGTGGCGTGAAATTGAAGATGAAGAACGACCCTTCCAAACAAGACCAAGAAACAAGACCAAGATGACGTCAATAGCTTGTGTGTACCGGCAATAGTTCGGCTTGGAAAAGCGTGATTTCAGCGTCTATTTATGCTCACATTCATCTCACAGGGATGTTATAAATTGATTTTGCGCCAGAAATAATGACGCGAGAAGCTAGAAACTTCTCAGATAAGTGCAAAAATAGGTACAAATTCTGACAATGTCAGCTTCAAAAAGTAGACTTTTTCGCGATTTATGACCTTCTAAGACCGGTGTCGCCCCTTAAGTTGTTTGAGGAAGCTACCTATGGCTGACTTTTTGATGATGCAACAGCAGCCATCCACGTACCTCACAAATATTTTTGGCTTGTCAATAAAAAAACAGTAGGGTCATCTCTTTTATGTACTACATTGTGAGGTTCGGTTTGCAGCGTAATGGAGATCCCCGCCCCCATTGCGGTCCCACTGGCTTGTCTGTAGAAGTTGCTGTTGAAACTGAAGTGTGTTTCCTTGAGGCAGTACTTTAGTAAGCGACACAGCTCAGTTCATTGAAAGCTGTTCATGCGCAGGACACAATGTCGGAATGAAACGAAGCACTCATCGCTGCTCACTGTCATATCTTTCACGCTCTCCATGAAGTGTCTGGCTTTTTGTGGTGATATGAAAAAAGTGTTTTGTAAGAGTTTTATTAATCTAGTCATGACAATTTTTATTGGCTATGAATAGCTGGTTGATGTCCTTCCCCTCCCGTCCAACATGTCCTCCATTCTGTACGCTGGGCGCCGTCATGCAGTAGTGCAGCATCATTCCCCTCCTCTTACACAGGGAGTTGTCTACATCGACGCCCCATTCGTGGCTTCTTGAGGCTCCTGCGGCTACGCTATATATGATCTACATCTTTCGGCACTTGAAACCCTCACCAATGGGCCTTATTTGCACCCGCCAAATGTACTGTCGCTTGAGGTTCTTTCCCTAGTTCATGCATTACAATCATTTTCCCCCCTCTCTTCTGTCCCCAAGCACACGAGTTTCTCCGACTCTTACGCCGCCATACGCGCAACCGCACTTTACTCTCTTCCCTAGAACAGGAGGTTGAGCTCTCCACTTCGAGCTTCCACTGTTTTCCTATGCTGGGTTCCTGGACATTCAGGGATTGACGACTCATCAACTTGCGGGTGATATATAGCGCCGGGCACCATTCATTTCCTGGCCCACGTTTTCGGAGGTCGGTGGGAGTTCCATGAAGAATGACAGGACGATATCCTTGCGTCTTAATATCAAGGAGGGGTACCTCCAGCTCAGACTCGACAAGCATCTCTACCCTCACCCTCATTCGTAACTCACAGTTCTAGAGACATGAATTTTGCGGTAAATACAACTACAAATTGTCTGATCAAATCATCTCGCCTTTTTATCCATATAAATCTCACGCCTGCTGTTCTAACTGCTCCTCCGCATATGCAGACTTGTTACACTGCTTTTTCTATTGCCTAACCGCTCAGCAATCCTGCTTTTACCCTCCCCTTTTCCTCTCCATCATCACCAGGCTCGACTGGACGGTGCCGAAGGCGAAGAACAGCATCGACTGGTCGCGCAGGCGGTCAAAATGTGCTGTCTTTAGTGTGTGGCTGAAAATAAAAGTCTGTTACTACTATCACTACTACGAAAGTAAAATGAAAAGAGCATTGACACCCTAGCTCATCTGGAGAATGTGTTCCAAGAGAGCACCTGCGTGTCTGTCAGGAACGAAGACTACACTTGTATCCAATGAGAGAAGTTTTTTGACCCTCAGTGCTGCTGGGCTGATGATGGTTTTGCTTGATCCACTCAAGCAAGATGTTGCTTACTTGGCATGAAATGTTAATATGTACTGAAGGGCTAGTTGGTGAGCCATGATTTTTTATTTTAATGCGATAGGGAGCTCTTTTTGCAGAAATTCTGGCGTCCGCGTGGCTGTCACTGGTTGTGAGTGAAAAATCATCTTATGTGTGAATAAAAAATTGAGAACGATGTAAATGGAATAAATAAATGATAAAAAATTCTGGAGCAGAGTGGGGACTGAACTAGGGTCGTTTGGGTCCAAGTTGGGATTGAACTCGGGTCATTAGCCTGGCAAGCAGATGTTCTACCACACGTTCACTCCTCTGCTTGTGAAAATAGTGAAAAGAAGTTCCTCTGCTTTGAAATGCTGTGAAAGTAGCTTTCATGCTTTACGAAAACACGCGTCATGTATACATGCTTTTCAATGCAACATGAAATATTGCAGTAGTAATGCATGGTACAAGCATTGATTGCCAACGGCCGTCAAAATATGTGATTATCATAATGGCTCTGTGGTTGAAAGCCGGTACCCCACTATAAAAGGCACATGTGCCCATTCTCTTAAAGTCACATAGTGGGTGCGTAGCAAATTCAAAAAGGTTTCATGCACTCAGTGTTTGAAGTCTGCACTTGGAACAGGATGTCGCTATCACGTTCAACTTCTAAAGGTGGAGCTTTAGGGTCGCCTAATTTTTTTTTTTTTTGAAGTTGCAGTACAGCACTTGTGTTTACGTCTTCAATATGTGCATGTTCTGTATCCTTCTGTGCAGTGCTTCATCAAAAATGAAATGTTAATTCAAACAAAAGTTTCCTTTTTCAAAGTTTGTCTGCTGCATTTATCAGTATTAATTTCTTTATTTCATTTAAACAATTTTTAATAAAAGGCTTAACTTAAATCTGTGCCTAGCCCTTCCGTGAAACATTTTAGCCACCACTCTCTCAGTGTTTTGTGTGACTTGTGCACAGGGCCTGTCACGGTTCCAAGTGCGAGATGCCATCCGCGAACGACTGCAGCAGATAGGGGCACACCGCAGTCGCCTGCCCTATGCAACTACTGTGCCTGTCTGCAGCCGCTCAGGAGACCTCCTTGACTTCCGGCTCAAGCCACAGTTCTTCCTCAGACTTGAACGGCTCGCACAGGAGGCTCTGCAGGTCATGTCTTCTTTTGTCTTTCTGTCGTAACGTCTACATGGCCTTCATCAGTATCTGCTTTCCTCCAAATCATGCAAACGAGAAGGAAATACAACATGGCTGGGGGCTAAGCCAGAGGCAGAGCAAACACTTGCAGGCAGAATTTGGTTGAATGCTCACAAGCTGCAAATTAAGCATCTCTATTGTGATGCCAAATTGAATCAGTCTGTTTGTTAGCTTTTTTTTTTTGTCCGTGATATTTCTTGCTTCGAAACATTTTGTCTTGAAAAAATCGTAGTGCTACATTCGATGAGGACAAAAAGAGAAGCACGCAATAGGACGGGCGTCCGTCTTGTTATGTGCTTCTCTTGTTGTTGTCATCAAATGTTGCGCTACAATTTTTCCAAGTTAGATTGTATCACCCACTACTGCTACTAACGTGCATATATATCACTGTCGTCAAAACACTGCAGGCAGTGGAAGGTGGAGAGCTGGTGCTTGAGCCAGACCATTGCCGGAAAGCCTGGCTGGAGTGGCTCACGAAAACAGAGTGAGTGGGCATCGAGACCTGATCTACTGGGTCACCGAAATATTGTGTTTTTGAACGAAGTAGAACCTTTGAATGTTTACTTTGTCCTGAATGCATAGTTGTCGGTAACAAAACATGCATACAAAGTGAAGAAGACGAGGACGGCACCGCAGGCGGCGCTCACCACTTTGTATTTTTTACCTTCTAAAGGGCCAGCATACAATTTATGTTCCACAGAGTTTGGTAGCCCAAAATTTTGATTTAGGCTTTTAGAAACTCACCCATTGGTATTGTTTCTGCATTTTCTTCCAAGGTTTTAGTTTAGGTCGTTTCAATAAACCATGTTATTAAGTACTAAGTCTTTATAGGATTTTTAGTTCCAACATAAAAAAAAAACACATTTCAAGTAAGACTCAAGGTTGAAGCAAACTTGTCCATCCTATTTTTTGTGTCTGTGCCTAAAGCCTTTCAGCTGTATGTTAGGAATTTGTGGTGATGCACACTACCTAGAAGAGGAATGTGAAGAGATCTAGCCAGTGTTTTATAGCTGGTCTTGTCTGTGGCAAAGAAAAACTCCAGAGCTTGTCAGTACCATTCATCACGTCTTCATCTTGTTTCGATAGTCTCTCTTCTCTTGATGCCGCCTGGTTTTAAGTGCCAAAGAAGGGAAGAAAAGTCGAGTTAGAAATAGACCTTCTGAAGTATGGCTGTTTGATTTATCATTTATCATGCCAACTATAGCTTCAGTATGCTTCCTCATATGCTTTGCTTCCTTAGCTAGTCATATGATCATTCCCATTTTGTGAGTGATGGCTACTTGGCTATGACTTATTTAGTGGCTGATAAAACACTGGGCTTTTGTTGTTCACTAGAATGAACTGAGCTTGATAAGCATTAGGGTACAAGAATAGGTGTGGCTACATGGAGTAAGAAAGGAGGTTCAGAGGTGGGGGAGGGATCATCATTTAGTATATGGGTATAGCACACCACGACAAGGACACAAAGAGAAAGAGACCCACACACACAGCGCTTAATGCCGCTGTGTGTCTCTTTCTCTTTGTGTCCTTGTCGTGGTGCGCTTTACCCATATAAATGATGAACCCCAACCAACTAGCCCGGCAACGTGCCTTAACGTGGGAGGGAGCCAGAGGGCGCGACGACACGCGATACTTCGTGAGCTCATCTGAGTTCACAGAGGAGGAGAAGGAGGAAGCGGAGCATATTGAAAGGATTGTTTAATACACTGCATGCGATGGTTGCGCCATCTCTGGATCTTTCTTGTAACAATGGCTTTAACTGCAGGGACTGGTGCATATCTCGTCAGCTGTGGTGGGGCCACCAGATACCAGCCTACAGAGTGCTCAATGCCGATGTAAGCGCTCATACAGGGTGTTGTGCTTTTATTTTCTCTTTCCTGATACAGTTGCCTCTATTTGTGTGTTCTAAACATGTCTTGCTGATGTCATTTACTGACCAGAGTGCCCATTTAATACGTACTTCCTGAGCTTTTGAAACGACTCACACCTTTCACACAAGTTTTGTTGGCTGTATGTTGTGGCAGTTTGTCACAAGTCTGCCATCATAGCTGGTGCCTGCTGTTTGATTGCTTTGCCATGTGCCATGATGCAAAATTACATAAGCTTTTTATGAAACTTCCTTTTTTTGCCTACAGTTCAACTTTAACATAATGAAGTATGCATTTTGCTCTTTATAACTTGGTATTGTCCCATTGTCTCAATAGTGATAAATGGAGCAATCAAACCATTAGCTCATGAATAAACTATGCAGGAGCTGAACCCAGCAAAAAAAAGTAGCCCTTAGTGCTCAACCACAGCAGCTGCTACTGTCATCAGTCATCAAAATCTAATCTATGTGCTTAACTATTCATACTCAAAATGTCGTACATTCAGCCTAAGTCATGGCATATTTGCAAAATGAATGTCACTGTTCACTTCACACGCCCAGTCTGACAATACAGACATTAATTTGTTACAGGATTGGCCACACTTGAATACCTCACGGTGCAGGAAAGCATGGCTCCTGCTGAGTGATAATTCGATAACTCTGTTAGGCATGGGAACATCATCCTTAAAATATAAAAGCTTCAGTTTCATCCATTGATAGCTATAGGTATGTGTTCGACAGCTATACAAAGTAAGGTTCGTAGTTTTATGCATTAAACATCCGATTTCCTGCACTGTGCAAGAATTGCCCTAAAAATTGAGCAGCCTGAAAAAACATCTTCATGCTGTGTTTTACTGCACCCAAATGTTCATCCGATTTTCCGGACTGTGCAAGAATTGCCGAAAAACTTGGGCAGCCTGAAAAACATCTTCATGCTGTGTTTTACTTCACCCAAATGTTCAAATTGCCACATACACGTCTAAAATCATTCTCAAAGTCCACCAGTGCATTTATCAGCTGGGGTGTAACAGCTGCGCCATTGTGCACCAGATGTTTTTAACTGTGCTGGCCACCCCTGCTGCGCCAAACTCGATTATAAGCGCAGTACTGCACTGCACTCTCAAATCATGAATTTGGAAAATTTGGCAAGCACTCTCAAATTATGACAGGTAGATTGCCACTGTCCCTCAAGAGAACGGTATATAACAGCTGCATCTTGCCGGTACTTAGCTATGGAACAGAAACCTGGAGACTTACAAAAAGGGTTCAGCTTAAATTGAGGACGACGCAGCAAGCAATGGAAAGAAAAATGGTAGGTGTAACCTTAAGCGACAAGAAAAGAGCAGAGTGCGTTGGGGAACAAACAGGGGTTAAGGATATCGTAGTTGAAATCGAGAAGAGGAAATAGACATGGGCCAGGCATGTAGCGCGTAGATAGGATAACCACTGGTCATTAAGGGTAACTAACTGGATTCCCAGAGAAGGCAAGCGGGTCAGGGGGAGACAGAAGGTTAGGTGGGCAGATAAGATTAAGAAGTTTGCGGGTATAAATTGGCAGCAGCAAGCACAGGACCGAGTTGACTGGTGGAACACGGGAGAGGCCTTTGTCCTACAGTGGACGTAGTCAGGCTGATGATGATGATAATGACTGCTCTGCAGCACCAGAATTTTTCCTCAAGGTGCGAAAGCCATCAAGAGCTGTGCCCGCAAATGTGGATGAAATATTGCTTTTTCGGTTTCATCAAAACTGTTGTAATTTTGCTTTCATAAAGGCTGTGTTCACTCCAGCAGGAGTCATGAATATTAATTTTAAAAGCGCAGAGTGGTCGTGACCGCTATGCACGCGCGATCATGCCAGGCATAAGTCTGAATGGCTAGCTGTGTTCTAATAACAGTGCAACAACCTCAGGAGGAGAGAGAAAGGACAGGAAAGAGCCCTCTTTTCTGTCCTTTTTCTCTCCTCCTGAGGTTGTCGCGCTGTTACTAGAACACAACCACGATGAACCAACACACCCAAATTAAGCTCTAATGGCTAGCTGCGCTCTCAACACAAAGAGACTGCTAGAGGACCATGTCTTCCTGGTGCAGCTGTATTCTCTTTCACCAGCATTTTGTAGAGTTAGGCGATATTGGTTCTAAAAGGGTTGGCTGCCAGCCTTACAATTGGTTGTTATCGCATTCTCTGCTTGCTCTCCTGGTGAAACAGCTCTTTTTATAACTTGATGTGTTCAGAAAAAAAAAAAAATAAAGAAAGTAACGGTGCTCAAAAGAAGTGGGGGTGGTGTCCATTTCCCAGTACAGCCTAGCAATGACAGGTTCACATGACTGCTCTTCGAGTGCATGTGCATATTCTCGTTCATTTGGCCACTGTGTCTTGCACTTATCGACTTGGCGGTCGATGCTCTGCGCGTTCAGGTTTAAAAAAAGAAGGCCATTGTACATAACTACAGTAAAACCTCCTTATAACAAAGTGGAATATAACAAACTAATGGATATAACAAAGCAATTGAAATTCCCATAGATGCCCACGTATTTAAAATCTCGTTATAACAAAGTGAAAATTTTCTTACTATGGATATAAGGAACCATTCTTCATCTGCAATGAGCATTTACTGATCATTTTGGTATATGTCAATTCAATATTTTAGAGTGCATGACGGTTTATGTCTTATCACGGCTGCGGTAATTCAAAACTCGTGCCTTAGCGCTCCCCAGAAGCCGCCTGCGGCCTGCCAACACGGGTGTGGGAGCAAGTCTTCCTGCCTCCCCTTTCCTCAGGAACTAACGGACTCGCCCGCACAGGGACTTCGCGAGCCTGCGTGTCAGCCGGCCTCCTCTCTCCTGTAGAACTCGTTGACCCGCTTGTGCATCTGACCTCCTTCTCCCCTTCAGCTCCACGCCGGGGCCTCGCACGCCGCTGGGGCGGCGGAGATCGTGGCGTTCGTCTCTGTTGTTTGCTGTGGATGAGCGACACCACCTCTATCAGTTTCTGCCGCTAGACACAAGATGGACAACGGAAGCGGCAAACATAGGCACAAAAATAAACAATTGAAATAAAGTCAGCAATATTGAAAGCCGTTGAGTCTGGCGTTAAGAAAAGAAAGAAAAGTGCCCGACGATTTTGACGATGTGGCTGGGTGCTGCGGGCGACCAGGCCCAGATGTCGAGGGGCGCTCCCCATCGTGCTTGACTGCGACACCTTCTGCATGTATGTCGGTGCCAATGCATGCACGTCGGTGACAACCGAAGAGTTGTCAGATGCGGGAATTATGCTGAAGGAAGACAAATCAGTGACGTGGAAACAGTGGTGAATGTCTCGACACCTCGGAGCCCAATGTTGGCGAACCCGATGCCCGCGCAAGCGCTGGATGTGACAGACCTGCTGTGCTGCTTCTTTGGTGCTTATGATGACGGCGAGGACGGACTCGAAATAGCCGCTGCAGCTGAAAAACAGCCATTCGCGTGAGGAAGAGTCCGCAAAGTCTATAATATTAATGACTATTTTTCTTCGAAGTGATCTGCCAGCTGGTGTGCTGAATTTGGCGGAAATAAAGTATATGTTCTTTGTTATTTTGCTGTTTTTTGCCTTCTGACGGCTGTTTTTCTCTGCACGGTGGGCTGTTCTGATATTCGTTGGTGTGTACATTCTCTCTTGCTGGCTAGTTGCTGGTAGAAATGTATATTGACTATAATAAACTGATAGTTTTAATGAAGTAACTAAAAAACTCCCCCTTCAACTTTGTTATAATCAGGTTTGACTGTATAAACAAGTCACAGTTCCAATGTAAGGGCAAAGCAATGAATGTGATAGCAGCAAAAAGTAATGTTATACGAAGTGAGACTAGCAGCAAACTTTTGGATCCAATCTCGCATAACTGTACAAAACTATGGTGTATGAGAATGCGGCCACTTCAAGGAGAGCAACATTTTTCGCAGTATCTTCGCAGTGAGAGTGCAGCATGTAAAAGCGTATGCGAGTCGCTTGCTAATGGCTGCTGAGCTAGCGTGCGGGCCAGTCATCTCTACCATGGCCTTAGAAGCATAGTTCGTTGTTGTTGCTCAAGTGGCTCGCCCCCCTTTTCTCGCTTTTTTTTCATGCTTTTAAGACGGGTGTAGCGCTTCCTCTCTGCTTCGACTACAAGCCTCCCAGGCGGGGAGATGTTATCGTGTTATTTATCGCACTGCCCTTCGAGCGACGAAGATTGGCCAGATCGTTTGACCTCTTCAGTAGCGTTCTTCACCCCTGCTCGTGCGCTTTTACCCATGGATAGAACATAAGATGCAAGGGGGTATGTTATCTATTTTGAATTTACTCAGGACACGACGGCAAAAACCCATCGAGTGTGTCTATATAATTTCTGTTGCCATAATAAGAGTATTGCATAATTTTGCTTAGTGTTTGAAAAATGCAGCATTGAACAAATGTTGCTTCACAAGTGCTTGGAACGAGGCTTGCTCTGCATGTTCTTACTGCTCTAAGTATGCTCGAACTGGCCCTTCTGGCTGCTCCAAGCCTGCTACAAAAGGCACTTTAGCCTGCTCCTAGGACTGCTCCCAAACCCATGTTATCCTGTTCCACCCTTATATCAGGCATTTTGGTGCTCTGCTTATGTTCTGCTAGTACGAATTCTTGTTTAAGACGAACAACACGGGAATGTTTCTTTGGTTTCCCATAGACTCAATGTGAAAAAAATCTGATTAAGACGAATTGCATAACAGGCCTCTTCTGTTAAGACGAACTATCACAGCGATCGACAAAACGAAGATTCTGTACAATGAACATTATAGTTTTGATGGGGGCATTCAGGCGAACAAGAAAAAGCTAAATGTAAGAAAAAAATTAAGTACTTTTTAGGCGCAAAGACTCAAAGAAAGCTGAAATCGAATTGTGATATGAAGGGAGAAAGCGAGCTAAGTGGAAAAGAAAGGTCGGCGCATAAAGCTGATATCTTCCCCACGCCTAGCCTGCAGGTGGAGAAAAGGCCAGATTTATCTCCAAAGAAAGCAACAATAAACGTTTGTTCGTTTGTATTCTCCTCGTGTTCTTCAATTCCCCAACTGGAGTATAGTGCAGAACAGAAGAACACAAGAGCTTGGCTAGAGAGCAAAATGCTAGGGAAGGGGGGGCGAAAAAAAGCCAGATGAATGTGAAAACGGGAACAAAGATAGTCTGTACATTATAATCACATGAAATCAAAACCACATATGCAGCACGAGCACTCCTATCAGAGGAGTCAGATGCATTGTCATCGCCATCTCACAATGGTGCCTAAGCACATGTTGTGGTCAGTTTGTGTTGTTTTGCAGAAGGCCTGTGTGCCTCCCATCTGTTCCCAGTGAAATGCTGCAAATTGTGATGTGCCATTTTCATTACGAAAATGCACGACAAACGAAGGTCATTTCGCACACTAAATATAGTTGCGTCAGGTCTTTTTTGTGTGCCCGAGGCTTGTGATCATGAGTAGCTTAAACGGATATCTTCAGCTGCATGTCGTTCAGGAAAAGTTACTGCGGGCTTAAAATAAAAAAATATCAGGAGTGAAACAGCTGCTCTAATTGTGCCAATTTGATGCAATTTTTGCACCGAGCTTTCACGAGATTTCATGAGAACCGTGAAATTTGCTAAAATTGCACCACGCTGCGCCAAAATGCCCGACCGGCCTCGAAATTCTCTCAATCGCCTTAATTTCAGTGATAAATGGAGGCCACGTACGTTGCCCGCCTGCAGTTTGAGTTATATCCAAGCACACAGACTCTAACCCTAAACCACGGTAACCTAACCATGCTAACCTTAATCCCATTAGGTCAGGGCACTCCCGAGGCGTGATCGACCAGATAAAGTACAAAGCCGTGCGACCATTGGTCCGCTGACCGCAACGGATACCTATCAGCAGGACGACGCAACATCAAGGCGAAAATGCATTGCCATGGCACTGAACTCTTTGCGGGAAATATGAACTTCCTAGTCAGCAAAAGCGGCTTTGGCATGTTAGTAACTAGAGCTGGAAGCGCATACCGCATTTTCCGCGCGGGATCACAGTCGAGGTTCTGCAAATGCCGCCGTTGCCGGTGACCACGTTGGTCGCATAGCAATGGCACATAAAAATTTTTGCTGTCTTGAACTTGCGTTTGTTTCGTTGTCCCGGGGATAGATATCGGGTGCGGTCGCCGGACCAACGGGCGTTCGCCGCTGTTACTTTATCTGGTAGAACGCGCCTTGCAAGCGAGCCGAAATGTTGTGCCCTAAACCTAACCCGCATAGTAAAAAAAAAAAAAAATGAGGGGGGCCTAGCGGTCATCGAAAACTTATTGGCCTTGCTCTAACCCGTGCAGAACGCTGCTTAACCCACCTTTGCCGCAGTACATCGGTGCCCTGCGAAAAAGCGTATTATGATTTGGAAGGGGCTGTTAGCACTACTCACGGGACAGCAAGTTTCGCTCAATCACTCATGCGTGTATACATTGCATAATTGTGAGCACTAGTATGATCGTTGACGTCTGAAAAAGTTACTGGCAATCATTTGGAAGAGTGTATGACACTTCTGCCACGCTTTAAAAAAAAAACTGCACAATTTTTGTTTTTTTCGCCACCCCTACTCCTGAGTTTTACAAATTCCTTGAATTTCAAGGTCGCCAGCTTGGCAGATCTACATTTTATTTCATGGATTTTGTCAAAGGACTTGACAGATGCCGCAAGTGCTAATGTGAACTTCATTATTGTTTGCTCAATGGGGTAGATCGAAATACTACTTTTATTCAAACAGCAGTGCTCAAGTTTAATCTGCATAATTTAGGTGATGTTGAATGGCTTGAACACACTTTTTTTTCCCTAAATGTAGGTCTTCTGTGCTCCAAATTTGGTCTGTCGTGATAAAAAATAGATGTTTTATTTCCCGTAACCTGCTCCAAATTTGCATTTTAGTGCTTGAAAAGTAAGGTTTTGCTGCTCCAAAAATTGCTCCTAATTCTATTTCGGCTGTTGCACCCCTGAAATATTCAAACCTCAGAGAAAAGTTTTCAAACTTTCATAAGCAACTTGGCAAATATCGGCTTTGCTAAGGTAGTGGTATGCAATGGTGGCTTATCGAAAAGTTATAGCCAAAGCCAATAAAGCAGCCTTTCAGAAGGTGTACAGCCAGAACAATAAAATTTCCATTCTTTGAAGGAAAATTGTGCTTGTCTCTCTCTTTTTATCATATTTTAATCGTCAAAATAGGGTCATGCTAAAGTTATATTGTTAAAATAAGCTAGCAATTTGTTCATGAGCATATTTATTATGAACTCGTGAAATTGAGTACTCGTTATATTAGTGTAAATACTCTACTTGAAAGCATAGTTTTTATCAACCTGAGCCAAATAAATGCTTTTTCTTGTTCCTTTCCTCCTCATTATAAGTATACAGTACTTCATTCAGTGTTTTCAAGCAACATATTTGGGTGTACTTGGCATGTTAGCTTTTGGTTTTGGGGGGTACCCCTGGATTCTGGATAAAATGAACAAATGATTGTGATCCCTTGTAGTATGACTTAAAGAGAAGTCTACTGTAGTATTTTTAACCTCATTATAAAGAAATATATGTATCCGTTATTTCAGTATAATGAAGTTAGCAGAACTCTAAAGTGAGATGATAGTAATCAATTAAGAGGGACAAGATTTTTTTTGCTGTGGAAAATTACCCAAAAGATAATTTTTTTGCAATTACAGCATAGACGAGCATAGACCACTTATAACAAAGCTTAAAAAAAAGTTCTTAGTAAATTTCATACAATTTTTTTTATGGTAGAAAAAGGGTTAGATAAAGGCATGTAATATTTAGGAAAAAAAAGTGTTGTGACTCTTTATTTGTGGAATAGTCACACTCATAATTTTCTTCCCAAATGTGGAAATAAAAACATGCAGCCATGACAAAAGTGTGCATTTTGACCACCGCTGCTTATGATAGGTATCTAGAAGCACGCAGTGTACAAAGATTATCATACCAATGTGGGGCACACAGCATCACCCCATAAGCGCACTGAAAGGTATTTTTGTGGTTTGATTACCTAATTGAGTGTACGACGCTGTGCTGCAACTGGAAAATGACTGGTCGAAGAAAAGATGTTATTGAAGGCTCTGCCTAGGCATGAGATGGATAGAGTTTCATTGCAAAGATGGGATTGCAACACTGTATGGAATAAAAGTTGTGTATGTTGTATAAGGTGCCTTAGAGGGGCATTTAGATGAGTCTTGACATTGATGAGGCACCTTACATAGTTTTTATTTCATGATAGCACAGAACTGTTTTGCAATCTCAGACTGCGATAGCAAGATATTTGACTGCAGCTGATGTTTCACATTGGAGAAGCCTCAAAAGCATTGCACTTTCCCTTGTGCAGAGCGAGGAGGTGTGGGTAAGCGCAGCAACTGCGCAGGAGGCGGCTACCAAGGCTGCTGTGAAGCTGGGAGTGGAGCGGGAGGATGTGCTACACTTGCGACAAGGTACCCTGTCGCAAAGCTTGTCAATGTGCTTCTGAGAATTTCATTATTTTCAACTATGAAATCCACACATTTTCACAGCAGAAGCATATGCTTCATCAATTGCATATAAAGCATACTTGTCTCACGAACTTCATCATACCTACAGACTCGCTACGTGTTGTTAGTGGCACAATAATACCTTCAAAACAGGGCAACTCTATTAATGAATTGTACAAGTTGTGCACTCAGCCTGCATCTACAAGCTGGTAAGCCTTGAAGGGTGAACTTGTCGGCTAGTTAGTTGAACATATTGTAGGGCAGCCAGTGCAAAAGACAAGGACAATGAAGAAACACGTACAAGGGATGTTCATATGAAAAAAGCGAAACCAGACAGTGTGTATGAATTAAGACTTTATGTAGAGTATACATCCCAGGACAACGATACCATTGAAGAACGAGACCAAGGATTCCTTTTTCCCAAAATTCCTTTGGCCATAACGAGACCAAGTGCTTCTCAGCGTCATTGAGTTCATCGTTCAAATTGCAGCACTTCTCGTTCATATGTTTCTTCATGCGACCAAATAGGTGGAAATCACAGGCGATGAATGGCGGCCAGTTTAACATTTTTTGCTGTCAGAAATCGGATGACGCCTTGCTACTTCTCAGTTGTCATGATGTGAACACCAGCCTGCCCTCACACGCACTGTCGCGTGGATTGGACGGCGCTTTTTATAAGAGCCTCTGTGTCCTCCTGCACATGCAGGCGCCTCCGCATGCTTCAATCTATGGCGGATGCTTCAATCGCATCTCTAGATGTTTCGCTACGTCCTCCCATAGTCGCATAGATATCTATGTCAATATGACTTTTCGTACATTTTCTAATTTGAGCACCCCTTGTACAATCACACATAGCCATGTTATGGTTGTATGTGTGCATTTACTCTCCTTGTCTTTCGCGTTGTTTGCCCTCACAACAGGTAACTCTTGTTCACTTCACTGCAAACTGCTTATGAAAAATCTGTTCCTGGTAGCCTTTTCAAACAAATATTGCAGTACAAAAAGCAATATACAAAAGATAGAAAAAATTCAGCGCCTAGCAGCCCGTTTTATTTACAGTAGGTATAGACGCCGCGATTGCCCCTCTGCGATGTTGCAGTTGGCAAATCTTGAACCTCTTGAGGACAGACGACGAGCTGCTCGACTTAACTTACTCCGTCTAATATATTTTTCTAAACTCGAAATAAAGCCAGACAACTACATGGTAAGGGATTCTTCCAGGCCTTCCCGTCACAAACACAGCTGTAGCATCAAGCCAATTTTCGCAAGAACTAATTTATACAAACACTCTTTTTTCCCGAAATCAATCTCTGAGTGGAACTTGTTGCCCCGAAACTCTACTCTTCTTTCCTTTTCACCATAAAATGCGCCTTGTGTTTCCTGGCTTTCACAATACTTGTTTGATTTAACAACTTGTTGTGTGCCTAAGAGTGTGGTGCTTTGCTTATGGATTGTGTTGCAGTGGGTGTACTCAGCCCTCTGGAAACGAGTATAATTTGATGGTGATTTCTATGTTTTTCTTACATTTCGTGTATACCAGTATCAATTTTGTTGTAACTTTGTTGTACCTTTATTTTACCTTCGAACTTGCTGTACCTTTCCTGCTTGGACCTTAAATGGTTCGCAGTATATGATAAATAAATAAATAAATAAATATCATCATACTATGGGTGTGCAAATGTCAAATGTTTTTAATTAATAGAATCAAATACAGTCGAGTCTCAATAATTCGAACTCGAAAGGGCCTGAAAATTTGTTTCAATTAAAAGAAGTTCAAATTAATGAAACCTAATTAAACGGAGGGCTCTCCATGCAGTGGCGCATGTGCATTGAGCTAACACACGAGGGGGAAGTTTTAGAAGACTTGCATTTATTCACAAATCACAGGACATCCGTTATTAATTGAAGTAATCGATGATGCGCATCTGCACACGTTTGTCTTGCAGCGAGTCAATCAATTTTGCAAGCAGCTTGCAAAGTATTTCTACTTTGGCTTCAGCATTCTCCTGGCAAGAGAAGTTGCGCGTGAAAATGTCCAGCGCCGACACTTTCTAAAGACGACGACAACGACTGCGTAGCGGAGCCTCTTCACTACGCAGCCACAGCATGGCCAGCTTGTGATGAGAAAGGAGGGGCGTCTCCACGAGGAGAGAAGCAGATCGGCATTTGAGAGAAAACCAACACTCCACGGCAGCTGTTTTTTTTTTTTTTTTGCTCTCTTCGCACACGTCGTTGAAAGGAGAAGGGTTACGTGGCAGGTACGGGAAGGGGAAGCGTAGCAGCAACGTGTGGTAAACCCCCCCCCCCCCCCCCCCCCGAGGCGCAGAGCCGTGCTCTCGCATGGGGGCAAGGGCTGCAGAAGATAGTGCTTTTTTTCTTTCCATCAACCACGTATTCATTCAACCCAGCGACAGCTTTCTTTTTTTTCCTCTCTCTTCACGCGCGGCATTAGAAGAAGAAGGCTCTTTACATGGCAGGGACGGAAAAGGGAGAAGCGTGACACGGGCGCGTTGCAGATCGGCATCTGAGAGAGAGCAAACGTTCCACCACAGCCTTTTCTTTCCTTTTCATTTTCTTCGCGCGCAGCGTTGAGGTGTCGCAGGTGCCGTCACGGGATTGGGTGGAGTGCTGAGAGCATTTTCGGAGCGCGGTATGTTCGAATTACCCGTCGCAAGTGCTTGTGCATTTGAATTACCGGGCGTTTTTGCTCATTGTAATACACATAGCTTTGACGGGACTTCATTGTGAGTTCGAATCAACATGAAGTTCGAATTAAGCATGTTCAAAATAATGAGATTTGACTGTATAAATAAAGACAGGTGCAGTTTTCACCATAGGTTTTTTGTTTTATCATATGCTTATGCTGAAAACAATACTTGTAAGCTATTGGTTTAATATCGATTAATACACGAAGCAATCACTCTCTGTACCTGCCAGGAAGTGTGTGACTGTGCTAAAGCATTAAGCTTGCGACTGTGATGGCTTTGGTTCAATTTGCATGTTGAACACTTTTTATTCCCTTTTTGTTTTTAAATGTAGTAATGCCACATTACAAAAAAAGAAAAAGCGTTTGTATTCATCATGGTGGCTGTGGTGTCGAAACTAGTGAGTGAATAATAGATGCTTGTTTGATTCCTGGATACAGTGGCTGCAGTACAATTAAGTGAAGTGTAGCAATGCCTTTGTACAGGTCGGACCACTGTTTGAGGGAACATACGAGCATTTGGCTCACGTTCTCCGCAGCGCCATGGAGCACAAGCGGCAAACGTTTAAACCAATGCAGAGGCTGTACAGGTCCTGTGTCGTCTGCTACTAAAATGTCTCCTCCATAGCTCACGTGCTACTGCGATGTCATAACTCGGCCATGCTATCGCCCATCAAGAGTCGTGCAATAGCATGGCACTGCAGTCACATGCGAGCGATTCAAAGGAGCAGTGGGCTGGGAAGAAAGTTTTAGTGATGCATTTCTATTTCTAACATGTAAAATATGAATCACATTCAGCTACCCTGGGATATATATTTCATGTACATCCTTGAATAAACTGAGTTGTGAGTTAGCACCCATTTATCTTCTCGTCTTTAGTTTTTTTGTCTATTGTGTGTGCGCCAAAATGTTTCCCAATTATGTCCTCAAACCAACTCGCCCAGCTTCCCATACTACTATAATAGGGATCACTATATTTATATTTAGGCTTTACAGCACCAAAAAAAAAAAAAAATCAACGAAGTACATTTGCACTCATGGCCTTGAGGTGAAATCTTGGTTATCTTGCTACATAGCCGTCATCCATCAGGGAAAGGCAGGTCGCTAAAAATTTTACCGAACACAAGATGAGGAACAGACAACAGCATTATACATGGAAAAAAATACCGTAAAAACCGGAATATGGGTTGACCCTCCAAACATTGAATCTCTGAAAAAGAATTTTAAAAAATAACAAAGTATCGCAGTGCACCCTTACTGTGACACAACCAGCTGCACTGTAGTGACATTTGTTTTTATTTGGGCACTAATCTTGCGTAGTTAGCCAGAATGCCACAAAGTGCTGTCACTCAGACTTGTCCGAACTTGAGTCCGCCAACGTCGGTTTTTCACTAGTAATGTCCCAGAGTGTATCGTCCTCCATTCCATCCAATGCGTTACTCATGCAGCATTTGTGGAAAGACGCAAGCACGCCGCCTCAGTGCAAAGCCCTTTCGCTTCATAAATTGGTGCACCCACTATGGTGATCCCTTGAATTGCATCCTTGTGAGCCCAAAGTCGTGCGCTATAACAGCGAATGCACTCCGCTGTTACGGGTAGCGACCTTACATGTGGCTCCCGGACGAATTCAACAAGTAGCGTTTCCACTCGAGGTGCACTGCAGTCTATTCACGAAACAATGTTTTTCTTTGGGTTGCTGCAGGATGTGATGTGCTGCTTTTGGCTCCTCCAGTATCGCATGCTTTTCTCCGATGCACCGAATTTCCGTTGTGCCGCCAGGTTGCCGTGTGCTTCGGCACGCTCGATAGCCTTTTCCTACGGCCTATCATGAGCTCCCATCGACTACCACTCATTTTTTAAGGAAACAGGAAAAAAGAAAACAGCAGACTGACTGCACATAACCGAGGCACAATGGTGTTGCTAGAACACTGTAGGCCTTGCCTAGCCTTGCCTAGCCTTGCCCAACGGTGCCGCTGCTGATGCGCACGATGACAATAGAGGCTTTCAACTTCAGCTGCCTATTGTTGCGAGACTTCCACCTTTTTTTTTTTTTTTCTGCAAGTGACCAATATATATGATGAGGGTCGACTTTTTATTGTGTGTTGTTTTTTAAATTTGACCTATAGTATTTTGTTTTTATGGTGTATTGCTAATATCCTTTTTATGTCATGTGTTCCGTTAAATGTTTTACACTATTTCTTCACTTGTTGGAATGATGAATCATCTAGCTCTGGCCCGAACCTGAGCAAACCTTATCCTT